AAAGAGACATCAACATATGTTGGTCCTGTCTTCTCATCCTTATTAGAAAAGATTAATTAGGAGGAATGTGATGACGTGGAAGGATTCCAAGGGGGAGAGGTCCAATTTGTGTTGGGACAAAATGTTTTGTGCCCCATTTCTCTTAGCATCCAACCTTTACTTCTATATCTTGTTATTCTGAAGCTGACTTACTAATATGTCTGCCACAGCAGAGCTCCTGCTATGGGCCAGCAGCCTGCTGTCATGTGCACTGTCCTGGCATATGAAGTGCTGGAATTTAAACTGCTAGCCCTGAATGAGGGTTGGCATATGGATGATGTCCACAACCAGGTTTTCACCCAGGGTCTGGCCAGCCTTGGGTGGGAACTGATTAGGAGATCACCAACAGGTGACTCCACCTTCTACATTAACTTGGAGGTGGGGCAAGAAGCCACCTCTGTAAGAACTGGTTCTGCTCGTAGTGGAGTTGGGAGGCCTGCCTATGAAGTGGATGTGCTGTGTGGGGATTCTGGTTTTGAAAGGGGTCCCTGACTCTTCATAGGAAGTGGAGTTCCCGGGACAGCAGGTCAAGATCATGAGTCTCTCTCTGGGAGACTGCTACATAATTGGGCCATCACCTGGCCGATTCCATCTCGCACTGCGTTGTTCCTGAGTCAGCTCACTCCCTTCTTCACACAATATGCTGTGAGTGAGTGCATTGACTTGTTGCTCCCTCTGGTTGTGCAGCACTCTGGATCTCTGGTGTACGATGTGGTAGTGGAGGGAGGAGTTTGGCTGCTGGTCTGCCTGTTAATGATAATATCATTGTATATTGGGCAAGCAGTCAGCAGAAGATCCTAACAATGACCTCAATGTCCTGCCTCAGCAGAAGGCTGGAGAGAATGCAGTGTGAAAGTTGGATGTAATAATTATTTCCTTGCTGAAATACAAAGAGCTAACATAGTTCATGACTTCTTGTAGATGCAGACATATTTTCTCTTTCATTTTGTGTTTGGTTCACTTGCAGCCCACAGTCCTTTCCACTGTTTGAATGAGTATCAAGAATGGTATGCAGCTACAGGCTTTCTGTATATTGCAAGGCACAATGTTAAAGTGGCAATTATCAGGTTTGAAAGAGGAATGGTGGACTTGCAGGTTCAGTTTGAGGTCTGGAAGCTGACCTAGGCTTTGCATCTTCAAAATAAGAAATATTTTTAGGTACAACTAAAGTCACAATGAGTTAACCAGATCTGAGCCAAACTCTTCTAATGCTGCAGTTCTTCAGTTCAATAGAACTAAAAATGTCCTATCAGCAGCAGAGGGTACACGCAGGTGCAGGTTGGGTGATCCTGGAAGTTCAATGATGAGCCATTCACTTTACTCATTTGTGGAACCACATATGTTTGCAGAACTCTGGGACTAGTAGACATCAGTACACTGGACCACTGTTATCAGAGACAAATTTGAGCTTAAAACCTTGGTTTAGAGACTGCTTTGGCTGGTGCAAACAGCAGTGTGTAGCACCTTGCACTTCCCACTCAGTTTTTTGCTTCATTACTGCTTCCCTCAGAATTTCTGTGGCTGTAGTAGTCCGACAGGAAATCTGCCACAATGAGGAAACTGGATACTGGAGTTGGCTGTACACATCACTGTTCTGATCTGAGGTGTCTGGCCTGCTGTGGCTGAAGGCTGTGTAGGTGTCCCTGAAATTACGGTAAATAGAAGAAGGTGTCTAGTTTGTATCCTTGTACAGGTGGGTGTGACCCAATTTACCATTCAGGATCACAGACTAAGATAGAGAAGGGGTTTCTGGTGACTAGGTATGGCAGGTTTCTCTTGAGAAGACAAATCACTGAATCCAGAGATCATCAAAAAGGAATGGAAAGGTTACTGGATCATTCCCTGCCATGAAAAGCTGATGCATTATGACCACCAGCATGGCCTAACCAAAAGCACCAGGCAGAGCTGTCTGCATGGGCAGGAAGAATTGTATTGTGCTGCATATTTTAACATCCTCTGTTAAAGCTTGTGGTCTTCCCAAAGTGCCAATGGATCTCTTTATTACAAAAGACTTATGAATTGGTGTTGGTAACTCTGAACAGTGTCTGGAAGATTTCCTCAATCTTTTTTCACTCTGTTTTCCTGTTATTTCTCTTAATTTTAGGTAAATGGAAGATTTGGAGACTAACTTAATCCAGACACGCAAAGCATGTAGAATAGAGCAAATGGTAGCAAAATGGCTTTATCGCTCTCGAGATGGTGCATCCAGGTAAACTTGGGGTTTTTTTTTGTGAAAGGAGTATCTGTTGATCACAATTGATCAGAGAGGGCATAAGCTTGTTCCAAACAAATGAAGCCTGTCACAGATTGTAGATCTTACTCATTGTTTCAGTTGTTCTTGGGCAATATGCACACAGCTGTCTCTAGAAAACAGTGTTTTTAAGCATCCCTCTTGGTTTTCTGAGGCAGATGTTCCTGCTTTCACCCATTCTAGTTTTGTGAGCCACATCTGCAGTAATACTCTGCAGTAATACAATATTGTTCAACGTGAAATTTATTTTTCCTGAAGAGATGGGGTTGTACATCTCCTTGTGTCTTTTCATTAGCCCATGCTTTTAGAGCAAGAATGGGTTGCATTTATGAGGGATTCTGGCTCACGGCTGCTTTATTTTCCTAAGGTCTATAAATCAAAATTAAGCTGGATGGGATCCTGGCGGAAGCAGAGAGCAGTAAATTCTCTCACTGCTTTGCTAGGTAAAGGTGTTGCTGTGATCTCTGAAGGTCAAGGCTTGCTGCAGGACACACATGGAGTTCTCTTTCCATATGACCACTGGGCTGCAGTGGCTGAAAGAGTTGTGGTCATAACCAGCTGGTGCCACTGGTCTGATGTCTTCATCTTTCTGTGGATTGTGGGGTATCACTGCTAGTCTGCACAGTGCAGAGCCACCTGTGGGTATCCAAAGTGGTGGCCTCACTGTGTACTGACGCAGCTCACTGAAAGTGTGTGTGTGGGGGGGGTGCACAGATCTGTGCCCCTTTGATAAAGTGTATTCTGAGTATATCTTAATCACCAGCTTCTTGTCTCACAGGGGCAGAATCTCTGTTACAGACAGCACCAGTGATGGCAGTGGCCAGCCTGCCAATCGTGTCAAACTTACTGTCACGATATACAAAGATTTGGTCCTTGGTCATTATGGCTTTGAGATATGTCCAAACCTGCCTCTTACAATAGCATCTGTCACTGCAGGTAAGCAACATTTCCGTCTCCTTACCATGACAGGTGTGAGAAGCCTGAACTGATGGTCATAGTGATAAACTGCTGCCAGGTGTTTATGTTTCTGAGGTACCTGTGGTTACCATGTGATCCTTGAACACTGAGGGCAAAAGCCTGTATGCTGGTGGCATGCTTAGACATCTACCTGATTCTGATGGCTTGGAAGATATATAAGCCAATGACACCTTCATTGCTAATCCTTTGCTTGCACTTAGACACAGCTGACCTTCAGGGATGCAAGAGCTGCTTCAAAGCAAAGTTCTTTCTGTTTTTTTATCTAAAATGCAAAGGAAGAACGTTGTCCCATCTTAAAGTTCTTATTCTGCAATGGCACTGGTGATCTGTTGTTGAAAATGCTCTCTGGGCTCATGACCCTGTACACGGAGAGGATCACTGCTCATTACAGGCAGCCCAGGTGAAATTCTGCTTGAGTCAAGTAGATCAAATCTTCCAGTTCTAAAATGGAACTATAACTCTGCTTTTAAGGTGAGTTTTAAGGTGGCTTGGGGGGTTTTGAATCAAAAAACACAAATGTGTTTTTTATTTACCTTTTATATTTTGGTGGGTACACAGAAATACCTGCATTTTACCTGTTGGTGTGGGTGTGACAACCAGAGAAAGACTATGCCAGGGCTGGTCAATGTTGCAGGGATGCTAGCTGGAGGACTGGCCAAGACTCTGGCCACCCGTTTGGGCTATGGCATCCCCCATCTGCTGGGGGGAACAGATGTCCAAGTGCTCATGCCTGCAAGATGTTTAGCCTAAAGGCACTGCGGTATCATCTCTGTCCTTTCACAGTGCTTTTGAGTGAAATTTTCTGTTCGTGCCTCTTCCCCGTTTAATGTGAAAAAATTAGCTGAGAGTGTTGGGGTCTAAAAAGTGGGGAAGGAAGTTTTATGTTACACTTTTCTTTTTTCCTAATCAGGAATAATCAACGTTTTATTAAAACTGATGCACAAACCTATCCTCTTACGTCCTATAGGACCCACTGCCTAAAAGCCCTGTGTTTAGTTTCGAATAATTGTCTATGTTTTGCTGTCATGTGTGCTACCTTACAGTGGGTGTCCCTGAAGGACAGGTGGTGGGTGCGTGGGCAAACATGTCTGGCAGAGAAGTTCCACAGTGTGCCTCAGCCAGCAGACTGGCCGTGGTGGAGCTTGGGGCTGCATGTGTGCTCTTCCTTCCCAGAGCAGGGGTCCACCTCCTCCTTAGCCCCGTTGGTCCTGCAGCTGCTATTCTTCTTGAAGCAAAGCTCAGAAACCATCCTTTCCTCTTGTTGTGGGTCGTCCTTGCAGACAGCATGGTGAAGAAGACCTCATCTGCACTTTTGTGTGTTGTGGAGGGGTGTCACCATGCTGGGGATCCAGCCCATATCTCTTGGGGACTGCAGCAGCACCTTGGTGTGGATGGTGGCATGCTGGAAGTGCCAAGCCCTGGTCTGTGTACCACATGTGACCAGCCACTGGGATGTCACCTGAAGGGCCAGGCTGGGGTGCAGACCCTTTAGGGAGGGAGCATGGTGCTGCAGCAGCTGCCCAGGTCCCTGGAGGGCTCTGCAGGCCAGGGCTTGCAGGTGCACGCAGGACAGGGCAATGCTGTTACCCTCCAGTCCCAAAAGCCTGTGAGCCCTCTTGCTGCACCCTGTCTGAGGATTATGTGGTTGGCTGCGACAAGGGAAAAGACATGCGCAAGAATGATTCTCTGTGGTGCAGGGGCAGCTTGTGCGGGCAGAGGACAGCCTGTGTGAGGCACCATGGACATGGGCAGTACAGCAGCTGTCATCAGGGCCCAACATCCTTTGGCCTCTTTTAATTTTACCATCCAGAGGCAGCTGCTGAGGCAAGTGGGTGCTGGGTTGGAAGAGGAGCTCACTGTGGGCGACCCCACTGGGAGACTGTCATGACTTACCAGTATGCCGGTTGCCTGCAGGGAGCACTGCTGAAGGGAAGCTGCAGCCGGGCGACCAGCTCCTCCTGATAAACTCTACTGCAGTGGACAACATGTCTGTTGAACAAGCAGCTGACATCATCAGGTGTGGTCTTGCATGGCCTGCTGCAGGAATGGGGTGGCAGAGTGCTAAGAGGAGAGCTGCATGGGCTGGGTTGCAAAGGTGCACAGCTCTGCGGGGACCTTGCTGCCTCCCAGGGTCCTGTGCTTGCTGGGGTCCTACCCCACAGCGACGAGTCCACCATGTGGCCAAAGAGAGGGGTGATCCCCTGCTTTCCTCTGCCATGTTGGTGCTCGGTGGGCTGTACCCTGCCTGGTTGAGGTCCTTGAAGTGGTCAAAGGCCTCGCTGGCACTGTCTGCCGTAACACTGGGGAGGAAGGCACAAGCAGATGCTGACCCTTGCTGATCATGTGTCTCTGTTACAGGGAGGCCGGTGATGAGCTTCTCCTAACCATCCTGCGCTGCACATTGGTAAATGGCTTTTCTTCAGCACTCTTGGCACCCCTGGCAGCACGGCCTCAGATGGCCATGGCCAGGGAAGGTTTGGTGGCTGGGCTGGAACACAGGATATAAGGGTCTGACCAAAGCCCTGAGGGAACTGCAAGGGTCCTCTATTTTAATGCACACCCTTGCAGGAGGTTTTGGGAAGAGTTGGTGATAACTCCTCAGAGCTGCCTGGGTGCAGGGTCAGGGTGGCTTGCAGAGCCTGGCAGAGAGGCTTGTTGAGCAGTTGGAGCCCATCCTTCCTGGAGCTGGTGGCTCTAGCTGTGGGGGCCCAGTGGGCTACATAGGCCAGGAGGCCATGATGACTGGGATGAAGGCAGGTCTCTTCAGCAAGCTGTGGCAAGCCCACCAAGAATAGCCTGGAGTGTTCCCCAAGTCTGGGGCTGTCTTGGCCGTGGGGACCCACAGGACATGAAAGGCAAGTGCCAAGGCTGCAGGCCCAGCACCTGCCCTCCGTGCTTCTTGGAAGCTCTTGAGGTTTTGCTTTCCAAGTGCTGGAAAGATTTATTCCTTTTTCTTCAGGTTCTGTCTGGTTAAGGGCTGGGATCAGGGTGTGCATCCTACTTTGAGAATAGAAGCAAAGTTTTAATACAAAACTTTGGTGCTGATTGCCCATTCCTGTAGCATAAAATTCCCCACAAGGCATGTACTGCTGACACGATGTTTTTATCCACATGGATTTCAATGTATGTAAAAGCAGAGCTGCAAAGCAAGGACAAAATTGGGTGTGTGTGCTTTTTTGGCTTCTTGTGATGTGTGAAAGTGGCCTGAGGGGGATTTCCCCCTACCCTGGAAAGCATGTGGGGACTGTTTTTCATTTGTTTGGAGTTTGTTTTTTTTTTTTTTATTTCACTTTATTCTTAGAAACAGGAATGATGCTTCCTTCAGAAGTGTTACTGGAGCTCTCAGGCTTAAGGTCATGAGATTTCTTGGCCATGCAGTAAAGGTACATTAAAAAGCAAATCTCTTAAATATATTTTTCTTGCCCAAAATTTCCAGGTGTTAGCAAGACCTGAATACCTGCCAAAAGGGGGAAAATGCAACAACTTTTCTGAGAGAAAGGATTTGGAAAACCCTTCATGGGACTTTAAACATCCTTCACGGGCCTTCATGCATTACTGAGAAGCAAATAGGGCACAAACCCATTTTTGTTTTTTCCTTTGCAGGTCACTTTAAGGACACCTCCAAATACAGCCAAAGCTGATCTTGGGTTTGGGGTTGGCTCTTGCCCAACTCTGAAGGCAACTGTGCTTAGAGCTGAGAGGTAACACCTCCCATGACAGATACCAGACTCTCTGCTGGGGCTGTTCTGGCCACACTAGAAAGGATGGGAGAGGCTGTGGCTGGGTAGCTGCAGGGTATGATGCTCTGTACAGCCCAGCAGATGCTGGAAGGGCTTGCTGTCTGGCTCCCTGCCTTTGTCCTGGCTAAGTGGCCTCGGGGCAAGATGAAGCTGTGGCAAGTTGGGAGGAACCTGTGCCTCTGGCAATAGTGTAGGAACTGGTCTGCCTCTAAGCTGTCTAGGAGGATAGTGGGGGATACTGTCTCTGTTCACCTTAAGGAATATCATGCTTCACAGGAGCAGGACAAGAACTCGGTGGTTTCTAGGTTCCTGTGGTGTCTTGTGAGCTTGGTAGACTCCTGTCACGATGAAAGCATGGTTATTTGCAACAGTGCAATGAAGTCAAGTTTGCTTTTTAGCCTTGGGTGGTTTTCTTAAATGTTTGCAACACGAGAGTGTACTCTAGAAACCCCAGCTGAGCCTGGAGGTGCTGCATACATGGCTGTGTTCTTGTGGTGTCCTGGCAGGGGTTTTGTTGGGTACTGCAAGGCACGCTGCATGTGTTGATCTGTGGTACTGTGGTGAATTAACTGTCATTCTGCAGGGCCCTGGCTTCATTGCAGGAGTTGAGGAGGTGGCTACACACAGTAACTGGTCAACATGCAGTGAAATTAGGAGCGTATACAGTGTGTTCCATGTTTGTCTACATTTTGGATGGCTGCTTTGGATTCAGAAGGCAGTAACCAGCCAGATAGGTCAGTGAGACTGTAGCAAGCCCAGCACCAATAAGTGCAAGGCAGTGTGGTATGAGCAGCTTCAGCATGGGCTGTCATCACGCCCCTTCTTGTGCTACCGGCCTCTGCCTCTCATATGGAATGGCAACAGACAGAGCTGCTGACTGAATGCTGTTGTTTTTCAGGGTGGCCCCAAGTCATCATTTCTTACTGCAGAGAAGAGGGCAAGGCTAAAAACAAACCCTGTGAAAGTGCGTTTCGCAGAGGAGGTGCTGGTGAATGGACACACTCAGGTCAGTGGGCATGGCTGAAGCTGGGCACTGTGGGCACTGCATGCTGGGAAGAAATGGATCTTCACTTGCTATTCACTTGCTGATTGCAAGTCAGGACTTAAGAGGTCTGAAGAAGGTGCTTCCTACAAAGCTTCCATCAATATTCTGCTGAGCTAATCTAATCATATATTGCAAGTACAGAGGAGGGATAGAGTCATTGTATAGTTTGCCATTCATTTAATAAGAACATAAAGGTAAGAGAAATTAATTTGGTTATTTGGGTCACACTCGTATTAGCTTACCTTTTTGCCAGTTGGATGTGGACCCCATTTTGAGCAGTAAAATATTAGCACAAAATCTGTTGTGTATTAATGACTTCTTTCTGGTACAGCACTATTGAGCACAGACAGCAACTGCTCTGCTGAGTGTTTTAGAACTGCTCTCTTTTCTGATAGACTGATGGTCTAGACACCCAGAATGGGTATTATGGCCCTGAAAAAAACTGCAAAGCCTCCTGTTTCAGTAAATATACTGCTCTGTCATCTTAATGGAGCATTGCTAAATGATCTGTGTGGCAACTGGAAGAAACTCAGAGGCTGCTTTCTGCAGCTGAAACCTGAAACTCCTGTTTGGCAATATAAATTGTTAATAAGCCTCAGTCCTACGCAGCCTCCATTTTCTGCTGCATGCTTATTATGTATTTCCAGATAGTGATATGCAACAGACAGGTCCCTCAGGCTCCTCAGGTCAGCATCAGTCACTGTATTATTGGAAGATGTGGGCCCAGCTGTGACATGGAGTAAGTCATGCACCAGACAAAACAGGAGGAGTGCAGCTGCTGAAGCCATAGCAAAAGCTTTCGGAATTCTCAGTAGTCTATTAGAGCCACACAAAAGGAGAGAAAACCCATCTGGCTGTTCGGACCAGGAGAGTGGTGATAGTTAATTTGTGTGTGTATATATGTGTAAATATATATAGATTTCAAGTTCTTCTGTTTGCTGGCTGCTGGTTGTGCATATGATAACCTGCGGCCAAGGGAATTACCAGAGAAATTATGGAGTTTGGTGTAAACCAGCTTCAGTTTTCTGAGATTAATGGAGGACCCAAAGCCTGTCACAGATGTGCCTGTGCTATTTAGCATGAAAGAGTTAGGGCTTGGGCTCAGGATTAGTGGCAATATTCACTCTTTTTTTCTCAGTGGTGAGTGTAGGCAGCTTGAACCCCACAGAACAGGGAGAGGAGGGAGGAGGGAGAAGGAACAAGATTCAGAAGTGTTTATTCTGGTAGTAGTTCCAGGGCATATCAGCTCTTCACAAAGAAGGACTGAGGTTATGAGATTTATAAGGTGTTGCACAGCAAGTGAAACATAGGAGAGAACATCTTAGACATGGTATTCTCAACCTTGAGACTGCCATGACAAGTAGATAAACTCTTTAAGGCTGGAGGAACATGGTGATCCAAGAACGTAAGAAAGATATGCTGAATGGGAATTCCAGGGGTGAAAGAGTAAACCTCAACACTCAACAAGAAGAAGAATAAGTTGAACGCAGGAAGGAAGGTTTAGATGTGCTCTACTAAAGGAGTGAGGTGGAAGGCTGAAAGGTGCAGCTTTAGACAACCCCAGAAGGACAAAGGCCAAGTTCCCAGACCCTTCTCAGAACACCCAGTGAAGGTGCTTTTGCAAGGGGAGTCATTGCCCTGTCTAATCCATTTGAGACCTATCTCAGGAAACTCTGGTGACAGTATCTCTTGTTTGGGAAGCTCCTGAGTCACAAATCTTAAAGGAATGCAAGATCTTGAGTTGAAATCATGGCTGCTGGTAGTGGGAGAGTGTCAGTATGGGAGTTAGTGCTGCCTGGTGCCCAGTAATGGGAAGATGTCATTTTGGGCAGACATCAATGTTTTTCTGGTAATGAGCCGTGAGGGTGGCTCTCAGCTTTCAGTGCTGCCAGATCTTCTTGTTCCATGTGGGAGCTGAACAGTGGGCACATCTGGGCTATGTGCATCTATTGGACTGGCTTGAGTTCTGTGGTGAAGGCATCTGTTATGCTCCCTTTCCCTTGTTCTGTGCCAGAAGCATAATCAGAAAATAAAGCTAGGTGCCACAGAAGAGGATTGCAAAAGCAGAGACGGATTTTCATTTATACCAGGATGTGCTGTGCCATGCAGAGCAGCCTGGTGCCTGGAGGGTTAATGTCCAAGGATTAGTACTGTTGCTTTTGTTTTGCAGGGTAATTCTCTTCTTTGTATGCCCAACGTTCTCAAGGTATACTTGGAAAATGGACAGACAAAGGCTTTCAGGTTTGAGACGAGCACTACTGTGAAGGTAATGGTGCTTGGTTGTCTGTCTTTGCTCCTACCACCTGAATTCCATCCAGTTGCAAAAGTGCATGCAGTGGAACTTGCAGCCTGTTGGTTGTACTGTCTCGTTAGTGGGAACTGGATTGCAATCTGATGCTGTGTGCACTGCATTGTCCATACCCTTCCTGGAGAGGAGGGGTTGCTTTGGTTCACCTCAGTTTTCTTCTTGGCAACTGATTTTCACGGAACTTGGTTATGAGACTCCTACAACTTTGTGAAGTGTGATTGAAGTTGGAAAGAGGACAGATTAATGAGAGACTGTCAAATCAGGAGGTGTCTGTACAAACATTGTTTTCCTTGGAAACCGCATGGTAGAATTACAGAGGAGGTTGTTTAATACAGCAGTGACAATGTGCATCCTTGAGAGGGAGAACAAGTCTCTTGGCTTGGGACCTGGACAGTGCAGTCCAGGTTTGGAGATGATGTGAATGCAGCCAGTGCAGCTGTGCCAGTTGTTGCTTAAAGTGCCCGTCCATGTTCCAGCCTCATCTCTGCACTGGTGGAAACATTTCCCTGTGGAGATGTAAAAACTGATGAACCCCTTGAGATGGAAAAGCAGTGTTACCTCCCTAGGATCACTTGGAGGCATTACAAGCAAGTTACCATCATTCTCCTCCAAATATAAGGTGCTGCTCTGCAGAGTCATTAATCTAGCACTTTCCATAATTGCTGTTTTTAGATATAGGCTATCAAACTTTGAGGTTTTCTATTCTGATTTTTAGAGTTGCTTAGTGTTTATCTTGGAGTTAATAAGATTTGTCTGTGCACAGCAATTGGCAACCATAATTTCTTTGAAGTTTTTATCATGTCCTGCAGCAGAGCAGTTACTGCAGTTATCAGGCTGAAAGAAGACTAAGGGGAAAAGCAAGGAGATTTTATAAATAAAAATGAAAACTTTCCTCAAAAAAAGTTCGGATTTTTTTTTGTCTGGTTCATCCAAACTTCATAAAACTGTTGTGGTCTCTCATGCAAGTAAGTCTCTGCAAGTTTTGTGACTTTCTGGGCAGAGAAAAAGAAAATAATGAAATAGCACAAGGAGGTAGTAAAGGAAAAGGGAGATAAGTGGTAAAGAGAGATTTGAATGCCCACCTGCAAGACATTAATTTCTAAAAGATTAATTACCTCTTCAGGTTTTACTTGAGTTGCTCACCTTTGACCTGGAACAAATTTTCTGCACTGGAGTTTGTCTGTGTCTCTACCTCACCTACTACGTCTCTGTCACCTACTCTGTGGTTTGTCTACGTCTGTGTGTTCAGAAGCTGCCAGTGAAGAGGGAAAGGCAATACATCAGATAGGCACTTGTTTCCTGTGAAACAGTACTAAAAATTTCATTTTGTGTTGCAACACCAAGCATGTTCTTGGCTGCAGGGAATTTTGTGTCTATGCCCTTTCAGTGTTGTCACACACGGCTACCAGTTACAGTCTAGAATCCTCTACATTCACACAGTGAGCTAGCAGCTGTGTCCAAATTCTGCTTGACAATCTGTGTCCCTTCACTTTGCAGGACATTGTTCTCACCCTGAAGGAGAAGCTCTCCCTCCAGAGCATTGCACACTTTGCCCTCACTCTGGAGGAGCAGTACAACGTGGCAAAGATTCACCTGCTGCATGAGGAGGAGCTCATTGAGCAGGTGAGAAGAGCCCATGTGTCCCTGCAGCCATGATGAGGAGGAGACCAGCAGCAGCACCCATGAATTTTGGCCAGTGAAGTGCAGAGTGAGCTCAGCTCTGCAGGTGTCACAAGAGAGAGTGAGCTTGGCCCTGTATCCAGAGGTCCTGTCCTCTTTTCTCTGCCTGGTACATATATTACCAGTGCACTAATCAGACCCCCTGGAGAAATGGTGCTTTCAGAAGTGTCACTTCTATAGAGAGGCCACAGTGCAATACCCATGGGCTGATACTGCTTGGATTGTGTAGAACAGCTGTGCAAAAGCATGCTTTGTGCCACTGATCAGACAGGCCCATCTACAGAGGGCTGTTTGAGAGAATCTTAAACTAGCTGTGTACTCAGCTGTTTACAGCTATCTGAGTAGTCAAAGTCAACCCAACCAGGTGCCACTTGGGTTAAAGTCTGAATTGAAAGTTTGTCTCCTGCTAACATGAGATTAGATCTGTTACTAATTCTGCTACTCTGCTAGTAATCTGTGCTGTTGACTTTGTTGGTTGGTGAGCCACTGTGGTGCAGAAAGGTTCCATAGCTAACACTATCCAGCCACTGAGCACATGTGCCTGAGAATTCCTGTTTCTGCTGATGAACCTGTATGGGATTTGGCCATAACAAAATATGCTAATATATAACCCAGGGGTCTTAACATTCTTCTGTCATTGCGATCATGATCCAAGTGTTTGTTCAGAGTTACTGTATCTTATGACTGAAGTTCAAAGCAGAGAAGCTTGCTCCTTCCTCAGTGATTATCATATGGCCTTGAAGCATCTGTCCTATCATACTGCATGTATGAGATCAAAGGATATTTAATGAAGTTTTGCAGTCAAAGGACTTCCAAGCTACCACAGCAAGAAGCAAAAACCTGAAGAAGAACCAAAGATAAAATTACAAACACTAGCAATATCTCCTTGTATTTGCTAAGGACAATGGCTAATATGCAGCCATCCCACTTGCCAGGAGCTTTAAGTGTTTTCTATGTGTTCATACAAGCCAGAAGCTTACTATGCATTTATAAAGGGAGGGACTACAACAGTAGTTGTGGCATGATGCTGTTTGTCATTGCAGGTGGTCCAAAAAAGAGAATCTCATGACTACCGGTGCCTCTTCAGAGTTTGCTTTGTCCCAAAGGATCCATTAGACCTTCTGCAGGAAGACCCTGTTGCCTTTGAATATCTCTACCTGCAGGTGAAGTAAAGCATCCATTCAGGATCTCTTCTCACCCATTTCTTGTTTCTGCTTAAAACCCAAGTATGCTTCAGGCCAGTTTAGCTATATGAATGTGAAATGGAAAGCACTTAAGAAGAGAGCAGTTGGATTCAATTTGCCTTAAATTCTTAAATCAATTGATACACTAGGCTTTTTAACAGAGGTTTAAATGACCTGGGTGGGTGGTTCCCTTTGTTTGATGCACAGTATTCCTATCAGAGGTCTTATCCTTACTTCCTCTTGAGCTCCCATCATCATGCTAACTCAGTACTGTTTGTTCCAGAGCTGCAGTGATGTGCTTCAGGAAAGATTTGCTGTGGAAATGAAATGCAGTGTGGCATTACGTCTGGCTGCTCTGCACATACAGGAGAGGATCTATGCTTGTGCTCAGCCACAGAAAGTATCCTTGAAATACATTGAGTAAGTTTGCAGATTTCTGTGTAATGTTATGACTAGGCCTGGAAAAGGGAGGAGCCAACTGAACGTGGCATCAGATCTTTGTCTGCCCAGTGTTTAGCGCTGGATAGAAGACTGTCTCTGACCCAAAGAGACTGCAGTCTCTTAGTTGTGCCAGTTGTTTGAGAGCAAGGTGTCTTCATGAACGTACCTGTCTTTAATTTGCTGAGCTGCTTGAATAATATGGACAGTGTAACATCTGCACATGTCCCTAATCAGAGGAAGGTTCTAATCTGTAGCTAGAGCAAGGACATAAAATTGCAAATCTGTCAGATAGTTATGGTTACCTGGGCTGCTGCTGCCAGTATGCCAAGCTTGATATGCAGTAGTTGAGAGAGGATAATCATCAGCTTTGCATAGCCAGCACTTTACATCTCTTAATCCACCCAAATTACATTAGAAATATCTAATTCCAGTATAACTGATAGAACCCATGAAATAATAGGAAAAAATACAGGAAAATTGCTTTTGTGAGCGGCAGGTGTGCTGCGCTGTGTGTCATTGCTGTTAGACCACACTTGCCCTGAAGAACAACCCTGCTTTAAAAGCTTGTGATGAGACAGTCATTAAATAACAGACATTTATGTTGGAACTGCACCACTAAGCCTCTGACAGGCTGTGCAGGTACCACTGATTCTTTATATACAACCAGACATACTGAACCACATGTGGTAGGGGGGAGTGGATAAGCCTTATGAGGGGTGCCTGGGGGAACTGGGGTTGTTTAGCCTGAAGAAGAGGAGGCTAAGGAGTAAACTTACCACTCTCTACAACTACCTGAAAGGTGGTTGTAGGGAGGTAGGTGGTGGCCTCTTCTTACATGCTGCAACCAACAGGACAAGAGGAAGTGGTCTTAAGTTACGCCAGGGAGGTTTAGGTTATACATTAGGAAAAACGTCTACACTGAAAGGGTTATCAGGGACTGGAACAGGCTTCCCAGGGAAGTGGCTGAATCACCATCCCGGGGTGTATTGAGAAGTTGTCTAGATGGGGTGCTTAGGGATATAGTGAGAAGTGGCTTAGTAGACTTAGATAATGGTCGGACTTGACAGTCTTGAAGGTCCTTTCCAACCATTGTGATTCAGTGAGAGAGAAGTGACTACAGACAACAGCAGCATTCTTAGTTTCTGGACATTTAATGCTTGAGCTGAATAATTCTTCAGCCAAAGAGACAGCCCACATTTTGCAGTCTAAGGAACTGGAGATGTTAAAATACATTAATCTTGCAACCAAAGCAAAGTGAATATAAAGACGGAATCTTCAAGTTGCATTGGGGGAAGCTCAGGTTGGACATGAGGAACAATTTCTTCCTCAGAAGGGTTGTGAAGGCCTGGCCTAGGCTGCTCAGTGCAGTGGTGGAGTCCCAGCCCATCCCAGAGGGATTTCAAAGCTGTGGAGATGTGGTGTTGAGGGACATGGTTTAGTGGTGGCCTGGCGGTGCAGGGTTAACAGCTGGAGTTGGACTTGATGATCTTAAAGGTCTTTTCTAACCTAAACAATTCTATAATTCTATGATTCATCCTCTGGGTGTCAAGGACATTATGCTGACTAAGACTGTGGATTGTTTACTGTATAACCATGTAAAAACAGGCTTTCTGCATGAAAGCGTGTGTTCCTCCCAGCGCATCTCCTGACCCAGTTGTGGATGTACATAGAGGTGAATTTTACCAAAGCAGTCATGTTGCATGATGAGTCTGGACGTTACAGCACCGTGAGGCTTGGTGTGTCCTGGACTGCTGTGGTGCCTTTGCCCTTTTCTGCCTCTTCTGGATATTCCTGTGTTGCCTGGGGACAGCACAGCTGGGACTCTCTTTGCTCTCTTCCTGTGTTTCTGGCAGGAGGGACTGGGGAATTGAAAACTTCATCTCACCAACTTTGCTTCGAAACATGAGAGGGAAGGACATCAAGAAAGCCATCAGCTACCATATGAAGCAGAACCAGGTGCTACTGGACCCTCGTCAAAAGGTAGTCAGCATGCCCTGGGGTCAGGATGCCTCCTGTGATGGTGGCAGCATCTCATGATCAAAGAGGCAGTGTCTTCCCTGGGTCTCCTCCTTTGCGGTTTTTCACCTATCTTCTCTTGTAACTTCCTCTGCTGCACACGCACGCTAAGTTCCCTACATTTTCTCTGTTCTGTTGCAGCTTGTGGGGTTGCCAGATGGCAAATGTGGTAATGTGGGATGGTCATATACACATTTGTTGCCTATCCAGACCGAGCTAGATGGCAAATATAAAAATGATCAAATACCAAGTCCTGTACAGAAAGGAAACCTTCTAGCCTGGCACACCTTATTCATCTGTCATGTTTCTAAACAGTATTTCTTCTCTTGCAAAACGAAGCATATGCTTGCAGCAGTTCAAGTGCGCCTGAGCTACCTGCAAATACTGGGAGACCTGAAGATGTACAATGGGAAGATCTTCAATGCCACCCTGATGGTATGAGAGCTGTTGATTTATGTCATTGGGTTTTGGTGTACTGCCTTCCTTTGTATTTCTCTTGTGGTGATGTATTTGGGCAATAACTGTAAAGGTAAGGCACGAGAAGCAGTTCTAACCCTTTTTCTTCAGTGGATAAGATCAAGTATTAACCAAAGCAATCCCTGTCTAAAGCAGAAATGTTTAAATATTTTTATAATTTGAATCTTCATTTGAGATTAAAAACCTCATACTGAGTCTGCTTCCCTGTCTTTGCTTTGATATTAGTAGAAAATGTAACATCAGCTCTGGTGATGCTGTTTCAGCCAGCTCCAGTCACACCACTTTTCCCTGTCTTGGGGTGTCATGATTTTAAATACTGGTAAGGGCCTTTGCTAGGGTAACTCAGCATAGTTCCATTGAAGTGAAAGACATACCAACCTACACAGTAGTTATCCATATTTTTTTCTAATTGAAAGTTATGACTGTTGCTCTTCAGATGACCTCTGTCTGTATTTTGTATGTCATAAAGTATTAAGAGATCTGTAGAGGTTTCAAAAGCTCTGGAAAAAATATGAATGCTGACGGAGCTGGCTGATGTTATTGGCTCTCCATCATTTTTGAAAGGTTATAGAGAGGTCCCTGAGAACTGGAGGAGAGCCAGTATCACTCCAGTCTTCAAAAAGGACAAGGAGGACCCAGGAAATGACAGGCCAGTCAATCTCACCTCCATTGCTTGAAAAGTGGAGGAACTGCTTATTCTGGAGGTCATCTCTACGCCTGTGGAAGAAAATGTTATCAGGAGTGATCAGCATGGATTCACCAAGGGGAAATCATTCTTGATCAATCTGATAGCCTTCTGTGATGGTGTGACTAGCTTGGTTGATGAGGGGAGAGCAGTGGATGTTGTCTACCTTGACTTTAGCAAGGCTTTTGACAATGTCTCAAATCACATCCTCATAGTTACCTAAGCTTAGGAAATGTAGGTTATATGAGTGGACAGTGAGGGAGATTGAGAACTCACTGAATGACAGAGCTCAGAGGGTTGTGATCATCAGTGCTGAGTCTAGTTGTAGGCTTGTAGCTCGCAGAGTTCCCCAGGAGTCAGGACTGGGTCCAGTCTTTTACAACATATTCATCAATGACCTCTGTGAAGGAACAAAGTGAACTCTCAGCAAGTTGCATGATGATACAGAACTGGGATGAGTGGATGACACCAAAGGTTGTACTGCCATTCAGTGAGACTTGGACAGGCTGGAGAGTTAGGTGGAGAGGAACCTCATGAAGTTCAACAAGGGCAAGTGTAGGGTCCTGCATCTGGGAAGGAATAACCCTCTGCACCAGTACAGGTGAGGGGTTGACCTGCTGCAAAGCAGCTCTGCAGAGAAGGATCTGTGAATCCTGGTGGACATGTTGCCCATGAGCTAACAATGTGTCCTTGTGGCCCATGCTTGCATGGGGTGCATGAAGAAGAGTGTGATCAGCAGGTCGAGATAGGTTCTCCTCCCCCTCTAATCTGCTCTATGGAGGCCACCTCTGGAGTATTTGGTCCAGTTCTGTGCTCCCCAGTTGAAGAAAGACAAGGAACTACTGGATAGAGTGCAGCTGAGGCTGCAAAGTTGCTAACAAGACTGGAGTTTCTCTGTGACAGGGAAGGCTGAGAGCCCTCCTTGGAGAAGACTGAGAGGGGATCTGATCAATATCTGAAGGGTGAGGGGCAAGGGTATGGGTGCCAGAGTCTTATCAGTGGTGCCCAGCAACAGGACAAGGGGCAATGGGCACAAACTGGAACCCAGGAGGTTCCATCTGAGCAGGAGCAGAAACTTTTTTGCTGTAAGGGTGACGGAGTCTGCAGCAGGCTGCCCAGAGAGGCTGTGGAGTCTCCTCTAGAGAAATTTCAAACCCGACTGGATGTAATCCTGGGCAACCAGCTCTCAGTGACCCTGCTGGAGCAGGGAGGTTGGATGAGATGATCTCCAGAGGTCCCTTTCAAGCCCCACCATTCTGTTATTCTGTGATATTTGCTACACTTCAATGTAAAAAAAAAAAACCACTGCTTTTTTCATGCAGTTTCTTGGTTTTTTTTCTGCCTGTCTCCACTTGGATCTGAACCGAACTGTGGACCACAAACTGTTTTATAGACAGCTAGGCAGTGTGGGTATGTAGGTCTGTACCAGAGGAAGACCTTTCTGGTGGGTTGCAGTAATACCTGGGTTTTCACTTATGTGCAAATTGGAATATATCTGCCAAATTCTATAGGCCTTTTTTTTTAAAGTGTCTGAACCTAACAGAAAGCATTGACATTTCTTCCAAAACCTGAAATGCTTTCTTGAAGTTTCTAGTCAGCTCCAGCAGGTGTCTCTATGTCCATCTGGCACAGCCAGCTGACAGTGCTCATAGTAATCTGCTGCTGACCAGCCCTTTGGATTTAAATCATAGAATGTCTGGGCTGGAAGGGACCTCCAAAGGTCATCTAGTCCAACCCCCTGCC